TGAAGATCAATGTGTAAATGCAGAATGGAGGAAAGATGAGAGTAAGGTGAGGGATATGCAAGCTGTAGAAACTTTGAAGGAACTTTATGAATCATCAATAAAGAAGAACAAAAAGTTGAAGATGAAGATAAAGGCAGAGGTATTTTGGGTAAAGTTGGAGATAATTTATGTTGTAGTTTCATTCTTGGTTAACTTGTATTTGTTAATTAGGTGTAATTGTTGAATTGATCATTGTCTGTAATGTTGTCTAAGTGGATTTGTATGTAATGTTGTCTCAATGGTTTTGTCTGTAATGTTGAGTCATTGGTTTTGTAATGTTGAATTGGTATGAAATAGAATTTGGTGTAATTGTGTTTGTATTATTCATGATTTGGTATTGTTTGTATTGTTCAATTATGAACTTTAATATCACACAATGGTCCTCAAAGTTTTCACACAATCTGACCTATAAATTAGACATAGTATAATGTATAATATTGACATAGTATGATGTCTAGTTTTGCAGACGAGGTGGCCTTCAAATTTAGACATAAAGTGACATATAATTTTGGTATAATATGAGCTATAATTTTAGATATAAGGTGACCTATAATTATAGCATAATATGAGCTATAACTTTGCCATTAAGTGACCTATAATTTTGGCATAATATGAGCTATAATTTTCACACAAAGTGATCTATAATTTTCACATTGAAACTACACAGATTTCACCAGAATAGTATAATTACTATGGCATGGCATAATTTGTTCAAAACAGTACATCAGTGTCATTACATTAACATACCATAATTTGTTCAAAAGACTACATCAGTACATTACATTGAGCAAAACAGTAGATCAGTACCATTACATTAGCATACCGTGATTTATTCAAAAGACTACATCAGTACATTACATTGAGCAAAATAGTACATCAGTGTCATTACATTAGCATATCATGATTTATTCAAAAGGCTACATCAATACATTACATTGAGCAAAATAGTACATCAATGACATGACATTACATCAAAATATGTGTTCCTAAATAGGTACATTAAGCAAAATACTACAACTTAATTGGGTTAGACCCTTGCCAGTTGTGTTTTCTTCTTCAGTTAGAACCAAAGGGTCATCAAGTTTCTTTCTAGGGCTAGGAATATTTTTTGGTTTCCAAGGTCTCCAACCTTTCGCTATGCCTTTTTTCTGCTGCAACATTCGTTTGTGTCTTGTACCTGCTCTAGGTTTTAAATCTAACTGGTTCACTTGAACTTGGCCTTGAAAGATTTGTTCTAATACCAGGTGGTTTGAAAGGCTTGTTCTTGCACACATTTGGTTGCTTACCAAAGAAAACCTTGACACCACTTGGCCTTGGTTTAGATGCCTTGAGAGGTGATTTGTCAACCCTTAAAGGTTGAATGTCCAAGACATCATCACCCCCTAAAGGTTGAATGTCCAAGACATCATCACCCCCTAATAATGCTGACGGAGTTTCATCCAAACATGAAGAATGTGTAGGTTGGTCCTTGATAGTTGGCTCAATTGGTTCATTTACCATTTCCTCAGTGACATTTTCTTCTTAGTCAGTTGGATCAGTCACCATTTCCTCAGTGAATTTTCTTTTTAGATAGTTGCATCAGTTGCTTCCTCAGTGGCAGTTGCTTCCTTAGTGACTTTTGCTTCATTGGCAGATGTTTTTCCCTCCTTAACATTTGCATCAGTTGCTTCTTCATTGACAATTGCTTCCTCAACGGTTGTTGTTTCATTGACAGTTCCTTCCTTGATAATTTGTTCCTCAGTGTTAGTTGCTTCATTGATAGTTGTTTCATTGACAGTTGGTTCCTTGATTGTTGTATCTTTAACTGTTGTATCTTTGATAGTTGCATCTTTGGCTTTTCCCTCATTAACTTTTGTCTTCTTTGTTCCACCAATAGTTGTACAATTGTTGGTAGATCTCTTAGGCCTCCCCTGAATGAAACAAACACAACATTAACATTGTCACCTAGTCTTATAATTAATTACATACAAGCACAAAATTTAAGTTAAGCATTACCTTTATTTGTGCCAAATTGATTTAAGTTAAACATTACTCTTCTTAAAAAACTTGAACTAGTCCCTAAACCAAGAATATGACAATTGCATTAGTACATTCAAGTGATTGGAAAAATGAAAAAAATGTAAAAACACAAAGTTTGATGAAACTCAAGCTTACTTTTTTTTGGTCAGAGATGAAACACCATATGATATCTCCTATGTCTTCAATAAGCAATTTTAGAAACCAGCTCCATGAGTATTTTGTTTAAGTCTCAAACACAACAAAAGCAATTGGCAAATATTGGTCATTAGGGTCTCTCCCAACAGCAATGAGTAAAATCTCACCATACTTGTGTTTCAAATGTCATTCATCTAGTCCAATGAAAGGTCGGCATGCTTTTGTCAATGCTTTCTTGGTCCCATCAAAGCACATATAGCACCTCTCAAAACTAGGTTTCAAAATAGGAATAGAAACACTATTGTTGATTTTGAAAGTGTTACGAGTTGAAGCCCTTCTTAACTCAGCAACATAAGACCATAAAAGGCTAAACTGTTTGCTAGAATCTCCTTTAACAATGTGTCTTGCTATCTGTCTTGCCTTGAATTACATCCTAGAATTTCTATGGCATACCTTTGTCTAACATATGTTACCACCTCACTTAACCTTATCCTTGAGTTATTCTTTAATCCATCAACAATGACCTTGGCAACCCACTATGCTTTAGCACTTTTGTTGAAGAATTATCTTCCACATTTGTACTTTACAAACAAAGTTTTAATCCTAAATGTGGTGGAGGTTAAAACTCTACGATACAATATTGTATAGTCACATTTTTTCTTGTCCTTAAATACCACCTTACATCTGTTAGCATCATTTTTTTCAAACTTAACATCCTTACCATTCAAAATATTATGCTCTAAGACAACATCTTTGAACTGCCTCAAAGAAGAAAACTACATTCCAACCTTGAAAACAAAATCCTTACTTTTGTTAAACCTGATTACACATGGTCTTTCATCACAACTGTCATCATCACCACCACTATCCAGTTTACTAGTCATGTATGAATCTTCAAAGACATGTTCCTTACCCATATCTTCTGTTATAAAAAATCTTCTTGTCTATATGAGCAGTACCATTATCATTTGCAACTGGTCCATTTTTTGGTTCTCCATCAACTTTATTATCAAACACTTCATTAAGCCCCTTCATTAAACCCTTTCATTCTCTCCTCCTCGCTATCATCAAAGTGAACACCTCTCACATATTCATCTTTAGAATCATCACTAGCTTCACTCAACCTGTCACCATCTTCATCACATTTAATTCTATTTCCCTTCTTTCTAAACCTATCTATAAAGGTATCCTCTCCTGCAACTTTCGTCTCACAGAATATCTCAACCTCACACTTATTTCCTACAACATACATGGCTAACTCAAAAGCATCTTCATCATCCTTAAATAGTTTTAAGTCTTGTTCAAAGGATCATTCATCATGTTTCCACCATATTTTAACACAACTTATATCAAACTCATGTTCAATCAACTTAACTAGGTCACATTCTTCAAAAAAAGACCAGTAATTAGGATCTTGACCACTAAAAGCATATACTTCCCCTCCCTCATATCTTATGTTAGAGTCTTTTACAAAACAGCCCTTTGAGTAAAATACAACCTTGAACTTATCCATTTCCAGTACACACAGTTTAACCTAGGTTTAAAATTTACCATTACTCTGTCAAATTGATTTACCCTAATTTTTTCTAAAATTGACAACAAACGTAACCTATTATACAAATGCTAATAACATGCAACAATTTAAATAAAACGGGACCACCGAGAAAGCAACGAAGATGACATAGAAATAAAATAATAAAAGAGGGAACAAAGAAGAGACATGGTACATTACTTGGGACCACTTGCTCGGCTTCTCACGAAGTTGTTTTTGGGACCATTGTTACGAAGTTGCTTTGAGACCAATGAAAACCAAGATTTCTTATTTGAATAGAGCGAATGTTTGTTTCTTGTTATTTGACCAAAGCGCACCTCTAAGACAACAACAATAAAAACTTCTGCTAGGGCACACTATTGAAGTGGAGTGTTTGTGTCGTGTTTCATTTTTATCAGTTAAGAAGATTACGTTATTAGCATTTCCACCGTGGAAAATTGACATTTTACAAATCACACGTAACTAAAGCAAATTTTACATTTGACATGCCACATAAGCCTTACTTAGTGGAAAGAGAGACAAGATTTGGGGACGAAAAACTTTGTGAAGACCATTGTTTAAAGAAATTTTTTTAAAGGAACTAAATTTGAAAGTTGACATCTAAAAACATATTTAACCTTTTTTTAATTGAATGATCAAATTAAAATAAAATACTACAAAAGAAAATATATATATATATATATATATTTAACGGCAATTAAATTATCTCACCTCCTTCCGTCAAAATACACCATGATAATGTACAGTTTGCTAAAAAAACGTGTGCGCAAAAACAAATTGTCGTGATCTATAAAAATATCTGGACCAATAACACCACTTTACTTATCTTCCCCGTTCAGTTACAAATTACAATCAATCCAAAACACCAACGTCACTTTATCATTGAATACAAGAAAAAAAAACAGCCACTATTTCTAAATTATAATATTCTCATTCATTTTTTTTAATTTTAATAAAAAACTATTTTTAAAATTTTATTTAACTTAAATAGTACGACTACCATCTCACACAAAAACACAAAACTTGTTTCTCACAAAAATTTGTGATAGAGATACCATAGTACAATGGAGTATCATTTTTCTTTTCTCTCTCATATTCATTACACTTTACTTTCAAGTTAATCAAGCTTTCACAAATTCCAACTTGATTATTATTATTCTATAAAATGAGCTTCAACCTATGTTGTTATTGACAAATTTGTGTTTTGTTTATAATTTCAACATTAATTTTTGTTTCTGTTTTGAAACAAACAAGGATGAAAAAAACATGTAGCAGTGTCTGTTTGGTGTTAATTCTTCAATTTTATCTGAGCATTGTGGTGACAAATTCAGCGCCAGAAAGTGCCATTGTAACACAGATTCCAGGTTTCAATGGAACAATACCTTCCAAGCATTATGCTGGGTATGTGACTGTGGATGAAAGTCATGGAAGGAATTTGTATTACTATTTTGTTGAGTCAGAAGGTAAACCTTCTCAGGATCCGGTGGTTCTTTGGCTTAATGGTGGACCTGGTTGTTCTAGCTTTGATGGTTTCATCTATGAACATGGTAATTATTCTGGTTATTCTATTTAGACGTTTAATCAAACACGTAATATGCATGCATATTCATTTGAAGATTGTGTTTAACCTAATCTCAAACCAGAAAATGCTGTTCCGGGAATTTTCATTTTGATTGAAGAGTGTGTGATGTTTTTTAATTGAAAAAATAAGGATCTATATTTAGTATATTATTTCTATGTTTCCTTGATTTTTCTGGCATTATGAATTGTGATTCTGTTTATGGAACATGTTGCAATTGATTATGCTTTTCAGGTCCTTTCAATTTTGAAGCAGCAAAGAGCAAGGGAAGCTTGCCAACTCTGCATCTCAATCCATACAGCTGGACCAAGGTATGGATTTTTTCGAACTTTGTCGAACTTTGAAAGGGAAAAATGATTTCTTCTCGTAGTTAGGTTTTGGATTTTGAATCTGTGTGATTCATCAATTAGTTCTAGTTATTTATGATTCTGATTTTGCATTATAGGTTTCCAATATTATATATTTGGACTCTCCCGCTGGTGTTGGATTTTCATACTCTAAGAATGAAACTGATTATGTAACTGGAGACATAAAGACTGCATCTGATTCACATGCCTTTCTCCTTAAGGTAGCTAAGGAAATGACTTGAGATTTCGTTGAATTATTTGAACCAGAAAATCTGTATTCTCATCAAATTTCTTTCACTTTTGACAAAACCAGTGGTTTGAACTATATCCCGAGTTCCTTTCCAATCCTTTCTTCATTGCTGGAGAGTCGTATGCCGGAGTTTATGTGCCTACTCTTGCCTATGAAGTAATGAAAGGTACAAAGTTGTGTCCTTGAAGTGTTTAATCAATGTGTTTGAATCATTAGTAATGTTCACTTTCTTGATTTTCTACAGGAATTGACGCGGATGTGAAGCCAAAACTGAATTTTAAGGTCGTTATCTTTAAGTGATCAGATCATTGTTTTTAACTCTATAATAACTGCAATCTGAAAGTCGTCTTGTGCAGGGTTACATTGTTGGAAATGGTGTTACGGATGAACTAATTGATGGCAATGCTCTTGTTCCATTTGCACATGGGATGGGTCTTATCCCAGATGAATTGTTTGAGGTGAAAATAAACCCCTTTATATTTAGTTTTGAACCTTACTGTGTTGTTTTGTAAGTATGTTTCTTTAAATCATGGTGTATTTTGTTACAGGAGGCTAATCGCGAGTGTAATGGGAATTTCTATAATTCAGTCAGTGATAATTGTACAAACAAGCTTGCGAAAATTGACGAGGTGATTTAACTAAATTGCAGTGCCGAGATTAAATGAGTAAGGTGAATTTGTCACTAATTTATTGCTCTTGCTATTTTTAGGATATTGCTGGATTGAACGTATATAACATTCTAGAGCCATGCTATCATGGCACAGAGACGGACAAGATTATCACTACTTATGTTAAGTTGCCGTCTAGTTTCCGGAAATTAGGTGAGACTGAGAAACCTCATCCTGTGAGGAAGAGAATGTTTGGTCGTGCTTGGCCCTTAAGAGCACCTGTGAGAGATGGAATCGTACCAACTTGGCCGCAACTTACCAATAGCAACAATGTTCCATGCACAGTATGTTTCTTTACTACTTTATAAGTGTCTATACTTACCTTTTAATATCTACTTCTTATTGTATCATATTTTCTTCATTCTGTCTTATTGTATCATATTTTCTTTGATCAAGTACTGCCGAGTTTTTTCAAATATAAAATGATCGTAGGCAATATTTATAGTTGATATTGCTATCTTACCTTTTCATTGTATGACAAGTAACAAGATCTAACAATATCTTTAGGACGGCACCGTTGCAAACGCATGGTTGAACAATGAAGAAGTCAGGAAAGCAATTCACACTGCAGAGGTGAGATTTCTTGTATGGTACATCTACTTTTGATGTCAAAGCACTAAACTATGACATTTTTCGATAAAACAGAAAAGTGTGGTCAGTAGTTGGGATTTATGCACAGACAAAATTTCCTTCTATCATGATGCTGGAAGCATGATTAAGTACCACAAGAACCTAACTTCCAAAGGATACCGAGCTCTTATATTCAGGTGAATTTCCAGCATTATAGTATTTTTACACATGTTTCCTTGATAATTGCTTTAGCAAAGGCATCTTCTTTTGTAATTGATATAAACATTAAAAGTTTTATGTTTCTTGCAGTGGTGATCATGACATGTGTGTTCCATTTACGGGGAGCCAAGCATGGACGAGATCGATTGGATACAAGATTGTTGATGAGTGGAGGCCTTGGTTATCCAATGGTCAAGTTGCTGGGTATTTAGCACCATTTCCCTCTTATCTTATCATTCTATTTAATGAATGTTCAAATATCTTGATCATTTAAACAAAAGGATTACAGCATGTCATCAAAATATGACAATCTTGATTGTAAATTGAGTTACTTATCTTTTATTTACTGCAGCTTTACTCAAGGATATGACAACAATCTTACTTTTCTGACCATAAAGGGAGCTGGGCATACCGTTCCGGAATATAAGCCACAAGAAGCATTGGATTTTTACAAACGTTTTCTTACTGGATTGCCAATATGAGAAAGAGAGAGTAATGCTGCTATGGATTTTCCATGAATTATATGATTTGTGGGTTTATGGAGACAAGAAGTTATATCTTTATATTATATGTACCTCTCTAATTTATTACTAGATTTACACACTTTTCAATTATTTTATGCTTGAAGTGAGGCTGTGGCAGTTAGATTAATATAAGCCCGACTTGTTCTAGGAGAACTCGAATTCGAATATTGGCTCAAACAATTTATCGATAAAATTTACTTATTTTTTGTCCGAACTCGTTTATCATGAGCTATTTCTCAATGAGATGAGACGGGGTTAAGAAAAAAAGTGAGTGAGAGATTACATATTACAAAAGGAAAACCGAGTGAGTGAACACATTCTATGAACAAATTAACCTAATATGTTATAAGACACTCCTCTTTCCATGATTCCATCTTCTTGATCCAGAACTAGGCATCTTAGGATACAAAATATTATGATCAATTTTTGCAGGGATGCGCCTATTTTTGAGCTTTGGATCTTTATTTCTTTGCAAGATCTTTATCTGAATCTCCTTTAGTTCTTCTTTGAACTCGGCAAATCTATTCTGAACAATTTCATTGTCTATCCAACCATGTGATGGTTGACATCTCAACAAGTACATTTCATCATAAGCATTTTTTGAGAGCAAATCTACCAATGTTAAACCAAGATTCGTCTCAAACCTATCAGGTAACATCTTCATGAAGAACTTATCAGGATCCTTAAGGAACTCACCGAATTCAACTGTTCCTTCAACTGGAATAAACTTCCTGCATAGTGTGGGAGAGTTATCGTTATGTGAATGTTTTTGTTGGTTAATAACTGCATGGCGCACCGAAGCAATCCATATGAGAGTTGTTAATGCTTCCACAAGGTTTGAGAGTGTTGTCATTTGGTACCACCACATCACATTGTGGTTGTCGCCATGGCCAATAGATCGAATCTCTGACCACCATGCTTGAAGTTCAACATCAGCTAGGATGGCGTCGTTGTCTTTGTAGAAGATTGAGCAGAAGTCATTGACCCATGATTTGATGGCAGCCCATATTTCAAGTCCATCAATGGCATATGGATAGTCCAACAGAAGAAGTTGAATCCCATTTGGATTGTTCTCATCTAGGTCTTCTACAGCCATGCCCCTACAAAATCAATAACCGGTTATTAGAATCTTACGCTATATGCTAGTCGTATCTTGATTCGCTAGCTGTAATAGTTCCAATTTCAAATGTACCTTTTGAGAAGATCAGCAGGAAGTCCTTGTTCGATAAATTTCCACTCTTTATAGAGATCACAGGTTATTTGCATACAGGTTTCACCTGGAAATAATATTTTCTCAAGAATTCCACCAGAGTTAATAAGGATATGTCTAGTCAAAGCATTTATGTGCATGGTGTCTTTGAAATGAGGATTCAATAACTTATGGATTGGATGCATGACACTTAGTCTTCTTTTGGTAGCAAGAATAAATGGTTCAACAACTGCATGTGTGTATAACCTGAAAAACTTTTCATTGCAGAATAATTAAATGCCACAAATAACCTTGTAGTTTTGTGTAATTGTTTTACACATAAGTTCAATCACATTTTATGATTATGTCAATATTCCTGATCACCGAAATGATATTGTGATTACATTCAAATTATTACAGGTGTCAATGTGTTAGAATGTGTTAGTATCGTGTTTGGTGTCTGTGTCAATGCTTCATAGGTGATATATAATTGGATGCATGTGTAAAACCATTTTACAATCTCGACTATTGTTAATTTAAACCAAAGAAAAGGGAAAATAATATCTTTATAAGTAAAGTTTATCATATGAGCACTTGAACTTTAGTAATTGAGATTGAATAATAAAGTTTTTAACTCACCAATGGCTAACTAGTAGATGGTAAAAAGCATCATTCGCTAAAACATGAGCTTTGGCAAGTTGCCAAAGTGCTGCTTGTGTCCCTTGCTTTGATGGAAGAAAAATTCTATGGATTTCAAGAGCTAGAGATGATCCTGGCAAGCTGAGTTCTATGGTCAGTGGCTTAAGCATGCCATCACTTCTTAAAAATAGAATTGTCCTTGATGCATAAGCACATACCCCATTTGCATTTATTCTGTTCAAATATGGCATGAGATAGTCATGGTGATCTAACATGAATATTCTTCCTTGTTCCAAAGCCTAACACAATTTTATGGTGAAAGAGTAAAAAACCAAATAAGTTCTTCATCCTAGGTTAGGTTACATAACTAGAAATAAAAGTGTTCTAGATTGTTGTTACTTACCTGAGGAAGTGTCCATCCTTCAAGCATCTGTTCTATGGTTGATTGTTTTATTGAACTTTGTACTCCAAATTTGTTTTGAGGTGGGAATGTCTTGAAAGGTAAATAGAAACCAATGGTGATTAGGCGAAAATTGCGAGTTTAAATAACTTTGTAGTTACACAACTATAGATTTTATTACAGTATAGAAACAAATTATTTCTAAAGCACGGTTTATGAGTCGTGCGTGTATGAATTACCATCAAGCATTGGATTCTGACAGGGTGTGTTCCTGCGAGCATTTGTCGTCCAAACTCCATGTCATCATTCCAAGCCCATTCATTTTCTGAAATGCATAAGATTACTCCAAAAATGTTGTAAATTATTTTGCTAATTAACCAAAATATCTACATACAAACCATATTAAGCTCTTTTACCATATATGGTTTGAGGGATAGGATCATGCATTTGGTTTTCCTTGATTGCATGAGTTATTTCCTTTAAGTCCTCATTTGGCACCAATTTCTTCAAGTTGTCTCTGATCCATCCCTCTATAGTTTGGTTTCTATTACTAGAGAGCATGTTAAGTATCTCTTCAAATGATTGAACGCTTCTCGAACTTTGTTGAGGTAACGATTCCGTCTTTGAAGATAGTAATTTTACTATGGCATGTATTGAGTTTGACTTGAGCTCCTTCAATTTGTTAGGACTAAACATCTCATCTGAAGGAACATATATGTCAAAACTTGTTGCTTGTGACCTTGAAGTACCTGATGTACTATTTTTTCGACCGGTTCTAACTTGACGTGGATATGGATATAACCTTGAACCTCCCAAGACAGGTCTAAAATGCTCCGAACCTTTGTCAACATCGCCGAGATCGTTGTAGTAGTCATAATCATAGATTCTATCCCATTCTTTTCTTTCTCCCATTCCGTTACCTCTCAATTTATCAAGCTCTTCATTTCTTAGTTCCAACAAAGCTCTAGGTGTTTGACTTGGAACATAGCACTGTCATGATAACACAAATTTCTCATTTCATGAATGTAACAGTGCAAAATTAGCCTATAAATCAAGCATGTAAATGTTATATATGATTGAACTTACTCTATTTGAGAAGAAGAGTCTATCGATTTTAGTCTTCTTGATTGAATAAATCCAAGAATTGCAATCAAAGTGAATGATTCTATTGGTACAAGTCTCAATAGATGCAGAAAGAAGATAGAATTTCTTCTTGTTTTTGTTTTGAATCACAAAAGCTCTCGGAGTTCCAAAATGCGCATCAACATGTAGTTTAATCTTATATGTCTTAATCTTGGTTTGTGTATCATCATTATCATCATGTTGATATTTCTTGTTTTTTCCGCTTTCTTTAAAATATGCTTTCTCACTCAACCACCCTTTACCGGTATCTGTTCAATGCAGTACAAAGTTTAAAACCGAAAAGGAAAAACTAAATTATGTTTTTCAATCAAAAGAACATTGACAGTGTGTGAAATTTACTTACTAGGATCCACTTCTGTGCCACTATAAATCTGAACAAAAATGAATTTTCCAGGTATCGATTTCTTTTGATTCAAGGTGATCACAAACTTTCCTTTGAGAGTTAGTTTTTGGACAGCTTGGCATATGGGATTGAAGTTATTCACAATTCTGCTTTTTGTTGAAGAGCATTGCCACTTGGAGATAGCAGAAGAAGACTTTTTTTGGACTTCCATTCATGGAAGATTTTCTTACTGATAATGTTTGTTCATGATGATTGAGTTTTGCAGTTGTTATTAGTTGTGTTTGAAATTTGAATACTTGCCTTGTATTATACATTTTAGAATCCGATACTTTGCTTGTCTTTGGATTTTATTCTAGCTAAGAAAATGCTATGAACACATGTTAGTAGAAATCTTTATGCCATATATGTAAAGAAGAGTTCTGATACCTTGAAATCAATTTCTTATTTCTTGTCTCAAGGGAGAAGATTTATCTATCATACCTGAAGTAGAATATCTAGCTGGAATTTTAGTATCAATATTACTTCTAATAATATATACAATTTTTTTTTTTGAAGAACCTTTATGCACAGTTGATTGATTCACACGTTTCTACTGCTATTATGTTTAATATGATGAGATACAATTTTGTTATCTTAACTAAAATAAAAGTGATTGATGAATGATGATGCTTTGAATGAAAACTAAGTGATGTCGAAAATCTATGAGGATGGCCTCATTGCCTCAAACATTTCATGACCTTATGCAGGCCAGCTTAATGAGAGGTTATAAAGAAATGGTTGAGGCATTGATCAGTTGAAGTTGTGCATTAGATAATAGTAGCAATTGTAACACTGAAATTCTACTGCCGTAATTACATGACATTCTAGGTCCAACAAGTGATCATCATCAAATATTAAGAGTAAAACAAGCAAAATATTGTAGACACTAGATAATTCAGTCATAAGCAAAATGGCGAAAACAAAAGTAAGCAGTGGCAATAAACTTAGTCAAAAGGGAAGGCAGAACTGAGGAACTCCTCGTCTTCAAGGTCAATCTGCAGATTCTTGGATTCCATTAGAAAATCAACTTCTTCATTCTTGAATTTCATAACAAAACCTAATGTGATTAGTTCAGACAGCGCAGGGACATGATCATGATTCTCACACAAAACACCCTCAGATATTGCTTCAGAGAAATTTGAAGCATATTTCAATGAATCACCAGGAGCTTCATCCATCTTCTGGATGATAAAATTGCAATTTTG